TATGGTACAGTAAATGGTCACATTTTTCTATAGCGCTTTTCCACCTTCAAGGCACTCAAAGCGCTTTACAACAAGGAACCACTCACCCATTCACACACCAGTGTATGCAGACACTGTGGGCAAGGTGGGTTAAGTGTCTTGCCCAAGGACACAACGACAGCATTCATCTGTGGGAGCTGGAATCACACCAGCCAACCTGTGGGTCAGTGGATCTGACCACTCAACCTGTGATGTTTATGTTGAGAGCTGGGTTCGAACCGCCAACCTTTTAGATCAGTGGGCGAATGCTCTACCAACTGAGCTACTGCCGCCCTGCAGCTCTGTATCCCCATGATGCAAGTACACACTGGTAGAGGCGTCAGGAATATAGAATTTTGGCTGGGCCATGACAGAACTGTCTGGGTTTGTGTTCCGTACATTCCACGCGCATGTGCACCCCTCTCATGCACGCACACCGCTGTAAACCTGTGCACGCACAGACATGTTAGCCTTTTTAGCTTTCTCTGCGTTCCTCTGTTCATGTGCCAGACCAGTGTCTATCTCATGCGCTCCCCATACCACAGCAGACCCACTGACCACTTCTCTCCCCCTGGTCGAACCCGCTCTTGCCTGTCCCAGCAGTCCAACTACCGCGTCTCTCACCTGAGGTACTGCTGACCGCTCACATTCTCGTCTCACAGCAGCTGTCCACTGCATTTGGTCCCACTCAGGTGGATGTCTCGCGAATTAGGATGAGAGGAGGGTGACTGCATGACCAGCACTGGTCCCGTACAAGTGACTGACATGCGCCATTAATGCATATGCACTATGTCACATATAATCTGCTAAGTGAACCACAATTCTTTTCTTTCTATAAAGACAATAGCTTTTTTTATTTAAATGCATAGGACCAAATGACAATTATATATCTACAGAAACAGTGGTAATCAGAGGTAGTTATCTGCACAATGTTTAGCCATTTTACAGATATCAATCTAGAATAATAACCTGCTCAAAATATATGCCAAATCCAACCTGCATGATGTATAAATTATAATTTTAAACAGGGTATCATATAGCCTCATAGTCCCTGTATGAGTGCATTAAGCTGAGCACCATAGCATTGTATACACTTGGCACTAACTGAAAAACGTTGCTCTGTATTGATTGGACTCAGCTCTGTCTGTCCCCACTTATCTTAATTGTGAGCTATAAGAACTGATCAGGTCTTTGCATTCTCAGTGCATTATGTTCTGTTTACATACTGTACATAATCAGTGTTGAGAATATTAAAGAGTACTACTACTTCTGGGGTATGAAGTGCTAACACAAACATATTTAGATCACAATGTTACCTTTTAATGTTTCAAAGTTTTGCAGAAAACAACATATTAACATTTTGTTCACTTTAGTTTTTGACAATACAATTAGCATGCATCCTGCTAATGAAACTCTTACACATTAATAGGCCTGAGAGAGATCGCTGAAACACTCACACATGCACTGAAGACTTCCTCTTTAAATGTTGAGGGAAGGTCAAAAATATACACCAAACTGCTTTATATTGATTTAAATATATATGTTTTTCATATGAAGTAGGTTTTAAAACTATTTGAATGTTGAAGGACAATATTCACAGACTTTTGAACTACTTACCACCATAGCATTAAGTTTTGGCTACTGCACATGATGTCTTCTCACTTTTCTGAAGTTGTCCTTGTAAAATGTATGTTTGATGTTGTTAAGTATATTATATTTCTCAGTTTCTGTAATAACCTAAATTGACTTGCCACTCTGAGGACACCATTTTCTGATGTGGAAGACACTTGAATAGAGAAGGTACAAGTAAGCCATGATACGTATGTCTCAGTAAATAATAAGGACATCAGTGAGTGAAGGCAATGAGACACATAGATTGTCAATATTGACTCACACTTGTGGAGGCCTACAGCTTGTACAATAAGCTCTGAGGACCATATTGTTTACGGCATATGGCTAACGTTCCTCTTCCTCTCTCCTGTTTGCCCTTTTCATCCCTCTGTCTGGACTAAAAACAAACACTGTTTCAACTATTTCAATTATTTCAAATCTCATACATTCTTCACATCAAGCATCTAAGTAGTGCAGCAAATATGATACACTATTTTGGCATTACTTACTCACCCCTCACCGGAAGTGGATATAAGATACTTTTGAGGCATCAGCTCTTCCAACTATCACTCACTGATCTTATTCATAAGGTGAGTGGGTTCATAAGGTTATTCATATGGCAGCTGACAGGTTATAGTGGCTAGTACTCTTGCTTCACATTCAGAAGGTTCCAAGTTTACAGGACGCCCGGGCTTTTCTGTGGCGTGTTTCTATTTTTCTCCTCGTCTGGGCACTCTGGTTTTCCCATCAAACCAAATCATGAGCAACAGGTAAATTCCTCCAGTCTTGACCAAGCTTATAGCTCAAGATCTGGAGACTGGTCTTCAATGTCACTGGGGCAACTTGTCACCGATCCAGCTTCTTCAGTTCCAATACTATTATCGATACTTCAGCCTTAAATATCTGCCAAAACTCAATATTATGTAGGGACTGAAAATAGCTTTTGTTTCTCTCAAAACACAGTTAACTTATTACAAATTGGATCAGATTTTGTAATTTATCCTGCAAGTAACTGCAGAAAAGCTTTGTATGAATGAAAATTCAAACCATGAGATGTTCAAGGGACTACATAGGCTAGTTAATTGTTAAAAACAATTCAAAACCCACCCAGCATATTGGCAGAACCAATAGCACCAAGATCCTATTTTCTGTTGAGAATGTTTTGTTGGGATGGGATGTCATGGATTTTTTATTTACACTAGTATAGATATATATACATTCAAAAGTTTAGACACAACATCTCAGTCTATTTTTTTTTAAATGTTTCTTTATGTGTTTATACAGACAGAAGACATCCAACATATGATGCAAGATCTGTGGAATTATGCAGCAAAGAAAAAAAGTGAAATAACTCTAAACTAAATATTGTTTATATTTTATATCCAAATGCCTAAAGCAGGCACCCTTTGCTTTGTTGACTGCGCTGCAAACCTTTGGTCTTCTCTTACTGATTTCACAATGAAAACTCCTGTAATGGTTTTCATTTTACAGCAGTGCCTTCTCAGCGCAAGAAATGTCAAAAATAGGGCCGGGCACGTTAACGCGTTAACTTTGCGTTAACTAATTAAATCATTAACGCCGACAATTATTTTAACGCCGTTAACGCCATTTTTATTATTTATTTTATTGTAAACGTCTGTTTCTCACTGGCTTTTGTTTTGAAAAAGTCCACCGCGAGCGTTTCTTTAAGTTTGACGTCTTTTCTTAACACTTTTTTCACTTTTTTCTGACCACGTGAGATGCAATGTGCCCGAGCCTCGGCGAGCCGCGGGCCCGGCAGCGGGTTCGGCCGCAGGCTCCGACTCCCGTCGCGGCACCGGCCGCGAGTTCGGCCGCGGGCTCCGGCTCCGGCCGCGGACTCAGCCGCGGGCTCCGGCTCTGAGCTGAGCTTATTTCTTTAGTTCAGTGCTGGAGTAACTGATTTACCCAGATACCATTGGAAGAAAAAATGTGATTGGTCCATTTCCATTCCATTATATTAACCCTTTGTTTATAACACTGATCTAGAAATTATTACTAGTGTTCATTACTCACAGCATAAAAAATATTCAATAAATATATTAGTAGTACAAACGTCCATTCAATATTTTTTCTTGAGCCTCCCTGAATACCTTGAAGGCTCTGAGGTTCCCCTGTGAAAGAAATGCTGTTTGCACAACAAATGTTTGGCTCTTTCATTTACATTTCCAATAAAAGAGCGCTATACTCTACTTTTTAATTCATTAATTGGTTTTGCGTATAACATGCGATTAATCGCGATTAATCGCTCGAACTCATGTGAATAATCGCGATTAATTTTTTTAAATTTTTGCCCAGCCCTAGTCAAAAATGCAAAAGGATAAAGGCTATTTTTAAAAATCTAAAACAGGTTTTGAGTTATTTTGAGTTTAGTTTCCATATTCCATGTCTTCAGTCTGAATGTGTGCAATGGAATCATGGAAATAAAGAAGAAACATTAATGAAAAAGTATGTAATTTTGACTGGCAGTATATATATATTTTTAAATAATGTATTGTATAATGTTTAATGTATAAAGTATTTATAATGTACATGAGACATGGCTCATGTCATGTCAGGCCTAATGCGCATATTCATTTTTAATCTTTCAATCTTTTTTGTTATAACTGTTATTACTTAATACTTATGTTAATAATGAATTCATATGAATGAGTTTTTAAATATTTTGATACACTTTACATTTCGCACTTGAGTTGATGCACCCCAATAATCCCATAGTGTGTCACAAGTGATTTTGAAGAGTAGCCCACGAGCTTTGTGAGATAACTCACAAAGCGTTATTATTATTTTTTTCATATGGGCAGGGACAGGTACAAAGACAGCTGGAGTGGGCTGCACCCTATGTAAGGGACCTCTATTTTACAATATGTAGCCTGGTTTGTTGTGAGGCAATAAACATATCAAGCATGTATTTCATTATGAGCTTAAAGTTTCTAAAACATGCCCTGAATATTGTTACTGTGAGCAGACTGTCATCTCTGCAGATATGAGTTGTAACTGGGCTATACAAAATTTAACCAGAAAAGTTAAATAGTGAACCTTTAAATTGTGCTTTTAGTATTTTATTAAAGATAAGGATGTAAGCTGCACTGTTGTCCTGTGAAATGCTCCTAGACTCTGTATTTGTTCTTTGTAACATACAAAGTGGTTTATTCTACATTTTAGTCATCCTGTTCCACTTCCCTTTGTCTTTGTGTGGTTTTCTGACTTGTATTGCCCTCTAGTGGTCAAACAGTGGCTTTGGTCAGACATCACACCGTTCTACAACACTCCGCTGTCATAAAGAGATTTTAGATGATATACTCCTTCTGCCTTTCTACTCTTCATTTTGCTTGTGTGCTTGTGCATTGCAGGAGGAGGCCATTCCAGAGCTGGAGATTGATGTTGATGAATTGTTGGACATGCCGAGTGATATTGAGCGAGCAGCAAGAGTGAAGGTACTGACAGTTTGAGAAAAAAGGATATACAACAATGTTAGCTGGCATCTCTTAACTATGCTATGTCTGACTGTGTTGCAGGACTTGCTTGTTGATTGTTTTAAACCTACTGAGGTATGTTACATTCTTAAAATCACAACAAAGCCATGGTTAAAAATGGTGAGTTGCTATAAATTGTACTCAAGTACAATTGCTTCAAGTAATATTACACAAGCACAAAGCTGTAGTTCGGGAAATAAGGACAAAAAAGGACAAAAAATAATGTATAAAACCTGACATTTTCAAAGGATAGACCACAAAAATAAGAAAAGTAAAATTATATCTGAGTGAGTTGTGCAACAAAAGAACAAATGTTCACATTATTTGGCACGCTTTAAAGTTATAGATGCAGGTATGAGTAAAAACTGTGGTGGAAAAAGAAATATATATTTTTTTACAGTACATTTTTTATTACTACAAATGCTTTGAAAGGTGTTTCAATCCTTCTTTTTTTTTTTTTTTTTGTAACCATAAACCACCAATAAACATTAATGATCTGTCTGTTTAATGAAAATGTGTCTCACTGTTTTGTTGAAAAATCTAATTCCTAAACAGGATCATAAATGCTCGTATTGATCACAGGCTCCTGAAAATGTGTTCTTTAAATCCATTTTGTGTGTTGAGTTGTCAGACTTTGGTCTTAAAAAATCTCACACTGTGTTTGCTAATGTGTGCTGAATGTGCCACAAACATACATGTAGAACACTCCCAGAGTAATGTCACTGCATCAATACAGTTTTGTTTTTTTTTTTCAATTGCTTTAATACATTTTTTAAAACTTGGTTTAGTTTGAATTTTTGATTCAAACATGTTTTTTTTTTAAACTCTAAATGTTCTCATATGATAAAGGACTTTGGCCCAGAGTCTGTTACTTTCAGTATCATTACTTTCAATGCATTCAATTAAATGACTCAAACAGAACAGCAAATTAACATTTGTCAGTACCAAAAATTAAACAAGAAAGGATTTCACACATGTGAAACAGGAAGAAGGGTCTCAGCTGCGCACAGACACACATATAGACTGTGTGGGTTACATACAGATTTAGAGACATACAGTCCTTTGATTTTCAAGTATACATTACATATCACAGTGCAAAAGTAGTGCTGATGTATTTTCTTCTACATAAATATTTTTGGTCAAATACTGCAAAATCTACACTGCAATTGTTAATGTACTTTTATATTTTACATAATACAGTACAGGCAGTTTTTTCCAGTCCAAAATTCATCTTAAATTGGGAACCCCTATGTCAGACTGCACCAAACCAGTGATTCTCTAGATTCACTGAGTGAAGGATTAAATGTTCTAAGTTGCAGTGTTAAATGAATGAAAAAACACATAAAAACACATGATGAGGGTCTAAGAGGTCTGATGGTAAAACTTACTTTTGGTGAATGATTTAACAGTTTTGAATGAAAATTTGTGTTTTGCTGAGATTAAAATTTTGTTTGGAAAACAAAAATTCTGTTTAGCATTTTGTGTGAGCTGTTTTGCAAATGTAAATTTTCAATAGATAAAAGTGCTAAACCGATTGAGAAACACTAAGTGAATCGATATAGCTTGCAAAGCCACTAACAATATATGTTGGCCAGTTTAGTTTCCGGTCTCTTAATCTGTTACAATTTGTACAGATGTGTTAAGTTTAGTTTAGTGATTCAAAAAAAGAAATAATGAAATACTACATACTTCTCTTCTGGCAGGACTTTATCTCAGCATTGTTGGACAAAATCCGAGGGATGCAGAAGCTGTCTACGCCTCAGAAGAAATGATGCCACCTCAGTCCAACCTCGCTGCTCTGCTCTTGTCAAGTCCTTCTGGCCTTCTAAACCATGTGCCCCCATTGTGTTCTCCTTTCAGTGGCCTCATAAACACTGCAAAAGTCACACGTCCATTTACACATCCACTCACATTTTTGAAGTTTAAAATGCCTCTTCAGTGTTTGTGGCATGTCTTAAACCATAATGTCCAACTAAAAGAAACATCTAAAACTTTCCTATAAACAAAACTGATTCATGAATCTGTATGTTTAAAGATGTCAGTAAATTAATTTTGTCCAATGCTATGATGAAAAAGATTGCCCCTGAAGGTAGGGGTCACTTGAATCTAAATTACTCTGACTCTGGAGGTACGGTTCTCCAATACACTCACCCCCTACAGTCAAAATAAAAGTAGTTTTAGTGAAATGTGTGTGAAGAAAGAAAACAACCTCTTATAAGGGCTTGGCATTTATTTTTTTGCTTGTTAGAAACTGTGGCTCATCTTTCTCAGTAATACTTGATTTATACTAGCCATAATTGCTCTAGAAGCTAAGAGATGTAATTTGTTGTTATCTAGCAGATTATTTTAAAGCTCCACTATGTAACTTTTATGGTTGCCTGAAATGTTCCACAGTATATTGAACAATTACAGATACTATATTGCTAAACAATACCCTGAAAACATGGGTTCTTGTGAATTCAAACATTTAACATTTCACTGAAGACAAGCATGTAGCAGACCAACAAAGCAGTGGATTGTTCGATTTCTCAAACATGCATAAATAACCTAAAAACCACTTCAGACATGTTTTTTGTTTTCCTTAAGATTTACAAAGTACAACTATTCTATGTCTAAATGATAGACTGTATAAATTGAGGCTAACCTGCATGGGGTCACTTCTGGCTCCATCGACTCTATTTCAATTGACTTTACATTGAAAAACGTTGCTCCTCTCTCCATAACTGGCACAGTGAGCCTTGTCATTTTGGTAATTCTACATGTTCCTGATGTTTTTATTGAGCTCTTTTGTCCATAAATAAATTCCCATTCCTAATTCCTAGCCTCGTGATCTTCATTTGACTGGAGCCAAATGCTATGGGTGACGTCACACTCCTTTAGTCCACTTCATTTTACAGTCTATGCTCTAAACATGGAAAATGTCTGACCTTTTTCAAACCCTGTTTCTATTTCTAAGTGTATATGTGTGTATTCAGTGCGTACAGTACACATCATTTAGCACCATAAAAGTTATATAGTGCACCTTTAAATGTAATAGCCTCATCACCCTTCTTCTTTCACCATTCTTCAAAAGTTTCTGTTTGACTCTGCTTTCAGGATGCGCAGGACCAACTTGTGTTCCTAAATTTTATCCTTTCTTCAACCCTTTTTTTCAGTTTGCAGTAGGTGTGCAATTTGTTTTGTCTTTTTTAATAGCAGTTTTGAAGTGCTTAATAACAGTAAATAACTTTACCTCTTTCTCTTCTTAGGTCTGCATTTATTTATTTAAAAAAAATATTTTTCAGCCAGCTCAGATTCATATGGAAGCCCATTTCCGCCAGTAAATAAAAAATAAAAGCCACAGGGAAAGTCATAATTTAGTTTGTTTGTTTAGTAAGTTTAAAAGTCATAATTACGAGTTTTAAACTCGTAATTATGTTATGAGAGGCCATCCTCCAGGTGCTCAGGACATCTCCACATAGCTCCATTTCCTTGTTAACTTGTGAATATTGTTAAAAGACAAGAAAGAGAGAGAGATATCCACACAAATCCCACATGAATGAGTACGTGCGAAGTGTCCATCTATCCTCTGCCCATGGTAGCTGGTTTAATCCAAAAAGGTGATGAAGCACCTTTGGCTCTGCAGTGCACCCGTTCTCCTGGCCTGGCTGGGAATTGATGAGCTTTGCTGGGCACTTAGCACTGGTTACTTCAGGTTGCTCAATGATGAATATATGAGCATAAAGCAAATCATTTAAATACAGTGTGAAGTGAATTAGTAAAATAATAAATTTTTACTTGTAGTGGGTTCATACATTCTCCAGGAAAATGGTAACACCAGCCCACATGCTTGCATACCAAGAGCAGGTTCAGAGTTAACTTTGAAAACTCCTAATTATGAGTTTAAAACTTGTAATTATGACTTTTAAACTCATAATTGACTTTGAAATTCATAATTATGACTCTGAAATTTGTAATTAGTATGATATTTACACTCATAATTATGACTTTAAAATTCGTAATTATGACTTTAAAACTCGTAATAAAGACTTTTAATCTCGTAATTATGACTTTCTGTGAAGCTTTTATTTTTTATTTATTGGCGGAAATGGGCTTCCATAGATTTACACTAATCATCCCAAAACAAGCCATCGATTCCTATACCAGAGCCAATCCAACACCAGCCCATACAGGTTGGGTTCACATGACATTACCACGATACAAACAGCCTGTTTATATCGTGGTAATGGAACTGAGCTAGAATGGCATATTGGAGAGGTTTTACTTGGTTTAAGATTATGAACTTTTGTCTTTCCCTGGTACAGATATATTGTATAAGCAGCTCTCAAAGTCAAAATAAGTCTGCTATCAGAAAGTGTGCATGAGCATGCTATTTGTTGTTGTTAGCTTTACTGCCATGGCAAAACTCAGCTCTGGTCCATGAGTATTGTTAAAAGCATACAACAGTTTTTTCACATTTTTCAGAGGGGCTTCATCATCCTCAGTTGAAAAGACCTTAAGTAACCACTGACATAAAAGAAGGTTCAGTATCTGTGGATATTCCGTTTGGATAGCAATGTGGTGGACTTCTTGTAGAGTTCTGCAGGCCCCTGTCCTCCATCTTAAAGGTCCTATATTATGCAAAATTAACTATGTTAATGTTGTTACTTCATTAAAAACATAACCAGAGTTGTTTTGTTTTATTCCCACATGTTGAGTTATCCTCTATTATTAGTCTATGTTCCATCTTGTGACGTTATGCAGTGGTAGTTGTCAAGTTAACAGCTACCTTTTTCTTTTTTGTTCAGTTGAGACTGGTAATTCTAGGGCTGAAATTAAGATGTATGGAGTACTTCCTGTTTGACCACATGACATCATAACGTGGAACACAGTGTTTTCTGTTGCAGGGTTTGTATGTTAAATGTGTGAATGAAACAAAACTTAACTCTGTTTTTCTGAGGGAACAACATTATTACATAAACAAATAGCGCAATATGGGCCATTTAAATTATTATATCAAAATCACAAAAGTTATTACAAGCAGTAACTTAGTAAAACATATAAAGAGAGAGGAGAGAGAGAGAGGCCACGTCTCTTCTCCTTGATTTCTCTCCTCCATCCTCTATCAGTTATCAATGAAATGTGTCATATTAAATGGTGTCCCAAAGAAAACTACAGAAGGAGGGAGTAAACATAAGGGAGGGTTCAGGAGCATGAATCAAACTTTATTGGTCTCAGTGAGGAGTTTATATCCTTTCTCTTCCCTGTGTCTCCTCTGTGGGTGGGACTTCCTCAACCATTTCCTGCAGAATCGAGGAGAGGAATCATGGAGAGGGAAGAGAGGAAAGGGAAATGAGATGTGGACAGAGAGACAGGGTTTTCTAGGAGACATCTCTTCGGGTCAATATTGCAGACTGGTAGGAGAATAACACACTGCATGTGTAGGCCTGTATGTGTAAGACCATACTTTCTCTGCTTCTCTCTCATTCCTTTCCTTCATACAACTCTCTTTTAATAAACTAATGTTGCCTTAGGTATTATTATGTTACACAAACCAAAAACAGAAGAACACCCCACACATCATAGAAACACAACAGACACTGCCACTTGAACACCTGCAGAGCATGTGCTCTTCTTTTTGTACTTGTATATGAAATTGAGATTTATTTTGTTGTTGTTGTTGTTGTTTTTTTTTTTGTATTATTATTATTATTATTATTATTTTAGAAATGTTAGGCCTTGAAACTGATTGTTCTGTTTAGGGAATCACCATTTTTTGCATTTATTACTTGAATACTGTTTTTATTGTCATGACACTTGTTGAAGTCAGACATGGGCTTATTATATTGTAAATTAGAGGTGGATGATATTGTCAAATGTGAATACCCCATTTTAACCCTCTCCAGGCAGGCGTTGCAGATTTGCAACAGCTAAATGCCAATTACGTACTTACTCCACATCCATATTTTATGAGCTTTTTTCCTCATGCAGAAAATACTCCACTGTGTTATTAAATTCCATAAACCTTCACTATAATCATTTTGATCATTTCAGCCATGAAATTGTCTAACTTTGCAGTTGCAGCTATTGTTTTAGCCTAATTAAAATTGCTTGACTTCTCAGTGCACCAGCAGATATTGAAAACTTTCTATTTATTATCTCATGGTAAAACAAAATTGTTCATAAATAAAAGCAACCGCATAAGGTTCTTCTAGAGTAATGAAAAGTAAGGTAAAAGGTGAAAATGAGTATTTTCAGTTTTGGATAGCCTAATAATCCACATGTGAAATGGAGCAAAATACAACTCCAGGTATGTTTTTGAGTACATAACTGGATTATAACATGGTTATAAGTTCACAGGAGTCAGTTTTGTGTAACACAGGACCTTTAAATGGCTTTGCTGCAAGTGTTACTTATTTATTAGATATTTCATAGTTTTCTATAGATTACTTGGTATTTTATTCCTTCTTGTTTGTCAGTTTTTCTGTGTGTGCAAAAAATCAAAACATCATTTTGAGATGATCTTGTATATATTGTCCACCTCTAGTTACAAAAATCCAGTCAAAAGATGGAGATCTTCTGTAAAACAAGGCATTAAAAGCATTTGAGTGGATATTTATCATTCACAATCCAGCATTGGACTATACCTTGTTAGACTGTTACTGAGAAGTCTGTTTTTTTTACTGTTGGGGGGGATTTTTTTAAATGTCTAGGCTACTGTTGATTGTAAATTAAGCTACCTGAGCTAAACTGTGTCTTAGCCAAAATAAATTACAATGTTTTTGAGAAGGATTAGATCAAACCAACCAATGTAGCAATATCAACAACAGGTTTTTGCCCAGTTTTGTTACACTTTTATGCAACTTTAATAAAAATGTGTGAATTTGAAATGCACTTTTGTCAGTTTTTGTATAAACTTGTAATTGTTAATTTGCTAAAAGCAAAATGTCAAAAATCTTCTTATGGTAGTAGCTGAGTGGCAAAAGTCTTCACCCAAAAATGGCAGTGAAAAAATGCACTGAACGAACATTCGCAAGGAGGTCCACACTAGAATTAGATTCTGGAAAACGAGTTGTGGCTCAGCCAATAGTTGAGTCATTTCTTCACATATTTCATTTGTTGACCCCACCACTTCAGCAAAGTCTTATGACATTTTCTGATGGCTCAGCCAGGGTATAGAGCCATTAAGTCACTGCCTAGTTATGTTATATGTGTGATTATTCAAATTTAACCATTTGAATTGGAACACACTAGGTTATATTTAAATGTGATTATTCAAATGGACAGTGATACACGCTGTGCTTCCAATAAAGCCTAGATGTAAAGTAGCTTCTTATGTTGCCACGGCAAATACTGTGGCTGCCTTGAGAGTGGAGTGAGTGAGGGTTAAATTTTGAAAATAATGTGCATTAAATAAAGTACAAACAAAAATGGTCACATAAGTACAAAAAGGCCAAGATCAAATTTCATCTTGGACCTGTCGCTGAATACAAATGAAGGTTGTTATGGCCATTTTTGTCCTACATTTGGTTCAAGGTGTTTTTGGGGTGGAGCCTTGGGGGTGGAGCCTGGTGCCTCATAGCCAGGTGGCTTATGTGGCCTGATTATTCTTTGTGTTGAAGCTGTAGGGTGTTGAGGTCATACAGTTAGGCTGCGTTCAGACTGCAGCCTGAAGTGACCCAAATCCGATTTTTTGGCTTCTATGTGACCTGTATCCGATCTTTTAATGACAGTCTGAAAGGCACAGATCCGAATTTTTCAAATGCGACCCAGGCCACTTGGATATGTGGTCCTGAATCCGATACATATCCGATCTTTTGACATGCAACTTCAGTCTGAACGGCCAAAGCGCATCCATCCGAACTATACGTCATTAACAAGCGACAAACGTCTGAGAGAATTAAAGTAATTCTATGATGGAACGCATCAAGCTGCAAGAACAAAATGGGAAGCCAAAGGGAAACCGAGATTCTCAAAAGGCATGGTGAAGAAAGCTGAAGAGGAAGCTCTTGTAGCAAGTACCATTGTTTCCTGGATCATGGACATGATACCAGCAGCGAAGAAGCCCCGAGGAATAGTTTCTTTACCCCCAGCTCCAACTTCATCAAATGTGGCCATAAATCATTTCCTCACCAAAGCCACAACACCACCCAGTGGTCAGTCAGTGATACAGGCACCAACATCACAAATGAGGACAACTGGATTTTACAACGTATTTCATTCTACAGGAACTGCAGCTACAGCTACAAAAACAAGCAGAGACCATTGAAAAATTCACAAGGGTGGTCAAAGCCCAAAGCCAAGCGGTCCAGGCTCTAAGAAATATTCAAAAGTCCCAAGGTGGATTATTACAAGCAACAGCTGATGCAGTGACAGACAACAAAAAGAGCATTCATGAAATCAGCCTTTCAGGGACCCAAAGATCATCCGAGGTTCCCCCTAAATGCAGCTCTCCAAGGCAAGGGGCAGAGGCTGATGAGCCTCCCCGTCTCGGGACGAAAGAACTTCTCAAAGGAAGAAGAAGGCCCGAGATTTGCAGTACAATCACCCAAACTGACCCAGAGAAAGAGGGGGAAGAATTTCCACCGCTGATGGTAGATCTGGCCTCAGTTTATCCACCATCCACATCCACCTTATCCACTGTTACAAAGAGTTAGAACTCAGATTACGACACAGACACAGAGTTAATCGTGAAAAGGCAAAGGAAGCACGCAGTGCATGGTCAGAGAATGAGTACTAAATACAAATCACTTCTCAGCATACATGGAGAAGAGCAGGGCAGTGATTTCAATGACTACAAGTCTGGCACGCTGAGCCCAGAGTCTAAATCAACCTAAAGAGCAGCCTCCATCAAATGTGATGCAAATGCCTCTGAGGCTAACAACTGGAGGACAAGCAGCATATTCACCATGGGGATGGAGAGACCTGTCAGCCCTAATAAAGGATCTTCCTCCAATTGAAATGAATGTAAACAAGTGGATTAAAGAATTTGAAGACAAAACAGCAGGAGAAAAACTCTGCAAAGCCAATTTAAGCGCAGTCCTCTCCAGATGTGTGGGTAGGCACAAGACAGAAGACATTTTTGATGAAGCCACGAAAGAGACCCTAACCACACTGCCCTTCCATTCAATCAGTTCAGAAACAAGCTATATGAAATACTTCGAAGAGAGTCCCCCACCCGAGCAGACGTCAATCAGTTAACCACACTGAAACACAAGGCACCAGAAGAATGGTTTGAATACCTGAAAAGAGCACAAAAATTATGGAAAGACACAACTGGCGAACGTCATGATGTCACTCCCTCACAATGATTATTATTCAGAATAAGTGTACAGAAGGGTCTTCCAAAACCGGTCCAACATAAACTTGAAGAGGTGGTAGGACTGGCATCTATGCCTGAAGCTCAATGGGAAGCCAATTGCAGCCACCACCTGAGAAAGTGGCAAGAAAACCAGGAGAACAAGGATGCTCTCACCAAGACTCTACACATGCTCCAGGTCAGAGAGCACAGTGCTGAGTCCAAGGAAGATGAACATGAGAAACAAGCCAAACCCATGGAAGTCACAGTATCCATGCCTCCAGCCTGTCCCACGCTCGATGTTCCTACCATAGTTGCCCAAACAATTGCAGCAATACATATGATTCCACCTGTGACACAATACTCCACCTGTTCCGAACCAACCCCCACCTCAAATCATTGTCCGACCAATACCACGAGCAAAGGGAGGATATCAAAAATGGGGAAAAGAAGGATGGGGCCATGCAAGACAAAGAGGCAATGGACAGTCAGTTAGAAACCGTAGAACAAGAAATTATTCCTGCTTTGGCTGTGGAGGGAATGATCACTGGGTGAGAGACTGTACATATGAAAATCAACAATTCCAAATTGATCGGCAATGGCAAGGCCCACGAGGCCCACACCAACCAGCTTATTACGACAGAATGTACAGACATTCAGAGGCAAGCCTTTCCACAACATGGAAAACTAGTGACAGTTCCTTAGATGATCACATTTCTTAGCATGACCGGATACAGCAGAAATCATGTCCCTGGCCCACACAAGAGGATGAAGGTGCATTTGTGGCCACCAAGCAAACACTGGCACAATTTTTATTAATTTTTTTCCTGAAAAAGGAGAAAGAGAAAGCAAAGACGAAGGAGGGTACAGATGTATTACAACTCCAAACTCAATCCAGTGCAACTGGACTATTGAAAAACAGTTCACATTATAATATGCCACCAGTTATGAATTAATACTTGCCATGGAGTGATGCCATTCATCCATTCAATATGATTCACACACAATAAGAAGGCTGTAAATTAAACAACTTAGCCAATTACAGATCACTTATCCAACCAAGACCAATAATCTAGTCTCTAGAAAGCCTCAGAGGTCTACAGAGAAAGAATACAGACTTTTTGAATGGACATATAAAGGACTAGTTGGGGACATTTATACATATCAACTTTTTAAAAGGACATTTGGGGCTGCCTAAGATTCACTGTTTGACTGTGCTAATCATTTTTCCCATTTACCATGATACATTTTACTCACGTTTTCTTTCTTTTTATAGCACCAAATTCTTATCACAGTGCTACTTCCCAGCCAGATGGAGTTCACAACACCAACACCACAGGACAGGCAAAGGAGCGAAAGGACATGGATGACTAACTCAGAGGACAAAGACAACACCTTGAATGGTTCCAAGCCCAACTGGACAGTCGAGGAGGGGGACAGACAAGCAGGGTTTAAGTGTGGTGTATGGGAAGATCTTTTTTGGGGGGTAAATGAAAGGTTTTGGTGCTGTATTCTCTATGGGTGAGGTAAGATTTTTTCTTATTATTTGCAAAATTTACACATATCTAATCATTGTGCTTTATTGCAGCTTTTGGTTGACACCTAAAAAGGTGTCAAAGGGGGGAATTGTTAGGATAAATAACTAGGCTTAGGTGGTGTATAACTACTGCTATGATGTAACTGACGTGCTGCTATACAGTTATTGATGTACTGCTATATTTTATTATTGTACTATTAGAATTCACTTTACAATGCCCCAGAAAACAGGGACTAGATTATAGCTGAGGGATGCAGAGATAGGTTCAGTTCATGTACAAGATATTCTATTTCTATCTATATGTCTAATCAATTAACTAAATAGGGTAAGGACTTATTGATAGGGATATGCTGACTCATGATTCATCACCCTGATCAGACCAGCAACACGCTCCCATGAGGGGAGTGAAATGAATCCGGGGGATCCTTGTCACAATCGGATAACATGTGCAATGTGCCAAGAGGCCTGGCTGGCCTGTGCACCAACGAAGAGGCACTAAGTCTAAACTTTGGTCGCCTCCCACTATAGTTTGTGCATAAAAAGCATTGTATAGGTGTAAATATTCAGTCTCTGCATGGGAATGTCAGCACAGACTCCTTGTACAAGTATGACTTTTCTAATATTGGAATACGTAAATTATCTGGACTTTATTTCTGTTTCAAGTGTAATTTTTGTCTAAGCAGAAACTAACGAACACGTGAGTAAAATGGTTATTTTCCTCAACACTATAACAGAATGGCAATTTTAGCAGCTCTTTGCCCACAGCGAAAACGTAAACGATGTTTATTTAATTCATTAATTAGAAATCTTAGAACATGAGCAATTATTCTTAACGGTATAGGACTGTATGCCCTTTGAGTTAACCAATGCTTCAATCTAAATATGAAAATTACAATTTGCAGTCTTTACTAAAAATAGTTCATATTAAGCAAAGTTAAAAAAGCAAAAATAGAAATATAAGCCATATGAGTAAAAGCATGGACAGATGAGACTAGCTGTTGGTACCATTTTCTATGTTGCAATTTAGGCTCATATTCAGTTCAGATTCAGATTAA